AGATGTGTATAAGAGTGTTGTTGTAACAGTGTGTAGAACCGCCAAAGACTAGGAGTTTGGGGGACATGCGTGTATTGCTGGATATTAAATAGCCCGTATTGATCGGTCGGTTAACTGAGATTTATTTACATTCCGGAAAGGTCTATTATTGGGCCTTTCGTTGAGGTAGGCCTAAACAGAAAAACTTCAATATTTGGTGCAACAAAACCGTAAAATCCACGGAATTGAAGACGCAGGGTTAGCAGTGCCTACTTACCATTTCTACGTAACATATACAATATTTTGTAGAAACATTAATTTGGCTGGTAGGCTAAATCATTTTTTTTATTAGGCCTATGTAAATCGATAAGATTTGATATGTATTTTATTATGCTGATACCATTGGTATTTTATCTTTGTTTTTTTAGATTATTATTATTAGAAAAGGTTTTTACCATGTTAGACCTCTCTGTAGGCATATTTACCAGGCACCCTCCAATACTGCAGACAGTTAATAGTGATAATGTAAACGCTGGTCAGTATGACGGTGACTACAATGCCGCTACCTTTGCCCATTCCCATCTAATAATTGTGTTGCAACCATGTTGCAACCCGTAGTATTCTCGTGAATATAGGACTCCCCTATGTTTTGTTTTGTCACGTGAATGAACGTCACGTGATTGTTTCAGTCAGGGGTCTGGTGGTATGACTTATTCGTGAGACGGTTGAAATCATGATTGATAATGAATGATATAATGGAATCCTGAAGGCTGTATCGATTTTGGTCCAGTCTGTGTAAACTGTAACTTTTCTTGTAGATACGGATTAATTTTTGAGTGAAATGTCTAGTGATTCCGACTACCTCGTTAAATTAAAAGGTAACTCTAGCCTAGTGCCAGGCTAGCCTAGCTAGGCCATTTAGACTAGGCCTTGCTAGCCGACATAACGTAGCAGATACGCTACGGTCGTAGGCACATTCGGCTGCGTTAGGCCTAGGCATACATACTGCAGGCTAGGCCAGATAAATACAGAAAAACAAAGTGTTAATGCTGGGTTTAAAGTTTTACAGGCGCAGGCTAGATAAACATACATGTTCAAACAATCTCCAATGTGCGTCATATATTATATACTTCGGGCCGGCTAACTAGGGCCTGGCCTATAATATAATACAATAGTAATTACTATTAGGATTATGATGTTACACAATTTTGCATAAAATAGGCCTTTGTTAAATGTAACGAAGGTGAATCACTTTGGAGACTGGCAGTGTTGGGAGGATGCAATGAGAGCTCTGAACGATTTTGTAAATTGTATTATTATATGTAATTTAGTTTTACAGGATTGATGTTTTGATTTTTGTGCTTTTCATTCCTAACTCTAAATACAAAAATATATAATTTCATCCACAAATAATTAAATAAATAGATTCATCCTAATGCATAAAATATAAGTAGGCCTAGGCCTAAGTATATCCATGCAATATATTTTATTTAATGATAATTTTTAATTTCTTACTTTTAAAAAAAATTTACAGGACAGATACCAGGAATTATATCATGTCGCTACCTTCTTGCCTTCCTCGGCTGCCTAGGATTTGTGAATGTCTATGCAATGAGAGTGAACTTGAGTGTAGCTTTGGTTGCCATGACAAAAACTTTAAACAGAACAAACAATTATACAGGTGCAGTGTGTCCAGCTGAATCGTACAACTCGACAAAAGAGGAGGTAAAAGATAATTTTAAAACTAAGCAGGCTATTATTTATGTATCAGATTATTGTTTGTCTGACTCAACAGGAGGGATCCATGAGGTGACAGAGAACACCCCTGCCTTCCAGCAGCAGCCAAAAAAAAATTGTCATTTAGAAAATGAAAATGCTAAAAGCCTGGAGATTTCAAGAAGCATAGCCCCTGAACCCTATGATGTCTAATGGAACACCGCAACCCTCGTCCTTGGACCATGAGTATCATCTAATGAAAAAAATTCCTCAGTTATCACATGCTCCCCCACCCCCTGGCATTTCTACTGCAGACAGACATTATATCAGATGATCAGATATGGAAGTAGAGCTTAGACTGACTTAGACAAACAGCACAAAATGAACACTTGATTTTTTCTGATATGTCTAAATTAAGCAAGGTATCAGACAATCAAACAGAGTTGCGTCTGATTGATTGTTGATATTTAATTATGCCTGATATCATTTAAATTAATAAAATAAAAAATCAATGATAACATTAATAATGAGTGTCATAGCACAATGCTGCAAACATAATGGCACAAAATAGAATGGTTAAAAACTAATATTGTGCATGTCGTCAAAATATTAATTTAGTATTCCGCACCCCCAGCACCACATTTAATAAGCTTTTGTATTAACTTCACACTTTCCTATCATTTTATTTTTCTCAACTTTTTCAGGGAGATTTTGATTGGGATGAACAAACACAAGGCTTAATTCTATCTTCTTTCTTCTATGGATACATCTGTACTCAAATACCTGGAGGCTGGCTTGGGGGTATTTTTGGAGGAAAACATTTATTCGGGATTGGTGTTTTATGCACCACTGTTTTCACCTTGCTTACTCCTCTTGCAGCCCAACATGGTGTTGGTTACCTGGTTGCTCTCCGAGTTTTAGAGGGCTTAGGAGAGGTAAGGATTGTCATCTCACAAGGAAGTTCTTAAGGAAGTACAGTTGAAGCCCTATTATGTGATATCTTTGTGACCAAAAAAATATCATCTTAATAGATATCTCCCCTTAATAGGGATGTCGCCATAATAGGGGTGCCCCAAAGGATGGGCTTGTGCTGTAATAACTACTAATCAACATACATTGTTTCTCCACCCACGAGTATACTTTGGTGGGATAGCGAAATAAAGTGGTAGGTAGCATCAGCGTTTCTTCGACTGGTAGTCCACCAATCCCTGACGACATGTGGGCCACACTCACGTCCACCCCACCATATTAAGGGCTGAAGTGAAAAAATAATTAGGTTATGTCGCCTCTAGACACTATTAGGCCAGCTGCCTCTTGCTTAGAAAATGATTTTTAATATTGTTGTATGTGACATCACAATGTTTCCACTTATAAATGTAAAAAATAAATGTGATTATAAACCTTGGTTTAGCATAAAATTATATCAACTCACTATGTATGTCTATTTTTGCAGGGTGTGACATTTCCAGCAATGCATGCGATGTGGTCAAACTGGGCTCCTCCATTTGAACGCAGTAAACTTCTCACTATTACGTATGCAGGTATTTAAGTGACTTTCTGTTAAATAACTGTAGTACTTATATGTAAATATATAATGATAGATATTATCAAGTAATATATTTGGCTGTTTTTTTTTTATTTCCCGAAAACTACCGTAGGATATTGATTTTATCTCAGAGGATATTCTTTTTTTCATAATCATCAAATATATCAAGTTTTTACTATCTTGTTTATGAAAGTAATAGTAAACTATGTATATGCAGAAACGTATGTCATATAATGGGCGTAAAATTCCAGGATCATTATCTTCTGTACAGCATGTCCTCATTACCTACAGTGGTCCTTAGCTTTATATTAGGTCAATGTGTATAGCATTAACAATAATTCTTTGAATTTCTTTGTAGGATCTCAACTAGGGACTGTCATTTCCAATCCATTATCGGGATGGCTCTGCTCAACCGATTTTCTTGGTGGATGGCCTTCTGTGTTTTATGTCTTTGGTAGGTACAGTCTAAAGTACTTCACTTACAGTACATTTGGTCACAAGTTGTTGGTCTTAAAGGACATCTCATTATAATACATTTTATGGGGATGATGGTAATGGTAATAGTGGTTGTCATGGTGATGGTGGTGATGATTATGATGATGATGGTTATGATGATGAAGATTATGATTATGATGATGATATGCAAAGTGTACTGTAGTACGAATGTGGTCAACTAAAATATTAGTCAAAAGTCTTACAATAAACACAGTATAGTAATAATATTAATAATCATTTTTATCAGTATTTCAAATATGTTATTATAGTAATATCCTGGATTTATATAGCCCCTAATGTCGCGGAACCTCTAAGCGGTGTACATAAACTAAAATAAAAAAGAAAACAAAATTCCCACTATGCCAAAAAATTAAATCTCGGAATGCTTTACAGACCAAATATGTCTTTAAATTGGATATTAATTTTTTTATGTTGATTATTCATAGATTTTATTAATTATTTAACAGGAACTTGTGGAGTGATTTGGTTCGCTGCTTGGACACTACTTGTTCATAATTATCCAGAACAACATCCTAGGATATCACCTCAAGAAAGAGAATTCATCGAGAAGTCCATTGGCAAAGTTGAAAGCAAAGTATGTTTCATGGTTGTTAATTTGATTAATGCATATATTATTTATTAAGTTACAAGTACCACATTTGGTCACAAAAACTTATTTTGTATTAAAAACAAACTTCATTTGATTTATTCAGGGTTGGTTACACCACAAATTCCTGTTGGTACGACTTGAATTTGGTTACATTTGGAGATGATATAGCTCAGTTTCCTCAAAAAGTTTGCTTGCCAACGACTGCCATTCCATTCGGCCGTGAATAATTGCGCTCTACAAATTCCTGTTGATTGATTGATTGATTGATTAATGTTGGAATTCAGTTCAAAGTGACAGTTAATTATCACAGTTAACTACAGTACACCCTCCAGTTTGAGAACCCTGTACTTCTAGACCATTTTTTTCAAAGAACAGAATAACAATGTTAAATCTTTAACACAAAGCTAACCCTCTAATTGTGTCACAGTTCTAGGAGTTCTTAGCATCCTCCTATTATTAATCCAACCAGCAACTGAGGCATGAGGCAGCCACTGTCTCACAGCGGGAAATTGTTAGTATTATAAATGCAATTGTGTGTATTTCAGAATATAAGAACTCAACCTCCAGTGTAATTTTATTATTATTTGCAGGCTGTAAAACTTCCAATATTGGCTATGGCCAAGTCGTTACCATTATGGGTTATAGCAATTTCTCATTTTGCAAACAATTATGGGTTCTACACCATGCTTACAAACCTACCATCTTATATGAAGAACATTCTTGGCTTTGACATTACAAGAGTAAGTGCAGTAATTTTTTGTAAATAAGGTTAAATATAATGTTTGATGTACACCCTAAAAAAATGTTTAGAAAATAAATTTAAATATTGAATTGTTCATTTATAAGAGTTAAATATGTATCAACTTTGAATGATTGACAGATTTAAAACAATTCTCACTGATTTACAAACTTTTTAATAAAAAAAAAATGTTAGCTTTTGCTACAGACAATAATATATTTAATTCTATTAAATAATTTAAAAATAAAGGGCTCCCTCGAATTTAAGAACTCTCTAATTTAAGACCACCTCTAATTGTAGAACATTTTTTATCGGCCTCTGATGAACAATGTCTTTTATGATAATTATTTTTCTAATTTAATACCATGGCCCCTAAAATTCATTTTAGAATAGTGATTTATAGTCATGTATGTATTTGTATGATTACAGATCAATTCCTGTGACAACATGACTTTTTTTCTAATGAATAAAAACTCCACTTCCCAAGCCTCTTGAAGAATGTTTACAAAGTATCATCCATCCCTCTTGCTGTTGGATGTATTATAAATAAAACCATAATGGAAAACCTACCAAAACATAAGGTTCAAGGTTGTATTTGCTACAAAGCCCAGTTTTTTTTTTCGTTTATCATTTATATAACCATTTTTATGAACCATTTTTAAAGTACAGTATTTTATTTCAGAGTGGATATTTATCAGCTGTACCATATATTGCAAATTGGTTGATCATTGTTAGTGGCGGTCAGATTGCAGATTATTTGCGTTCTCATGGTTATCTTAGCACTACAAATACAAGAAAGCTATTTAATTCATTGGGTGAGTAAGCTAAGTTATTGCAGTAAGTTAACATCGTCAGATGGCCGAGGGTATGCCAATAGCAAATCCCATTCTATGTAACAATCGTATTCACAAGACAGACATTTTCACAAAATACTCCACATGTACCAAGTCACGTTATAAGGGTTAGGAAGTGGAGTTTGGTCATAAGAAAAAGTCCTGTTACCTTGGAAACAAAGCACCTTATCACCCAAGCTAAGTTGTGATACATCTTTGTTAAATTGTTAATTAATGTATTGTATTAATATTACTTTGTTATGCCAACAATAACAATGTTATGTCTTGGTAGTGTTATATAATTAACAAAATTATAATATTATTATTCATAGGTATGATGTTGCCTGCTCTGTTTCTTGTCCTTACTGGATACGTTGGTTGTAATAAGCCACTTGCAATTTTATGTTTGACACTAGCCGTTGGCTGCGGAGGTTTTTCCATGTCAGGGTTCAACATCAATCATCTCGACATTGCTCCAAAGTATGCCGGTGTGCTGATGGGCTTCACAAATACTATTGCTACAATTCCTGGATTTGTAGGTCCATTGATTGTAGGCACCCTCACAGAGAACAATGTACGTAGTAGGTATATTGTTAAGAATGGTGTATATGAAACAACACCAAGTAAACATTTAATTCTGTGTTTTATTTGTACAGTGTGACCAACTTGTGAGAGTGGTTGTTTGCAATTAACAGGTGATGACAGCTCTTGTATATAGATAAAAATGTAGTAGCGAGAGGAAATAGGGAGCTTGTGATATGCAAATATGTACAACATAGAACGTAATGGTGTTATGTTAATTTGACTGGGCATGTCTGACTGTTGTGTGTTATGTTCTGTCCTAAAATCTGGAGCGGTTGTCAGCCGAATCTACGTTCAGGCCAGAACAAGGTCTGTACTGTATTGAACATTGGTGCGTTAGTCTTTGCGTTACTGACATCTTTGGTACGCGTCGTAAAACATTAATATTGATATAGAGTAGAACATACGCAGCAACAGTTTGGATGAGTGAATTTGTTGTATGTTCTCGTTCTATATTGGAAGCTCACTAATATTAAAAGAAATTGATTTTAAGAGCCTAATACTCTATGATGGGTGTAATAAATGTAAGTTTATGAAATAGACCTAAATAAAATAGAAAGGGGGTTCTGAGATTCTATAGTAAAAGATTCTTTTGTTAACACCCATTGAATTTCATTTAATCAGATTGTTACATTATTTTTTTTTTTTTTTGCAGGACACCAGACAACAATGGCAAATTGTTTTTTGGATTTGTTTTGGTATTTATGCATTGGGCCTGCTCACATATCTTTTATTTGGTTCTGGAGTGGAACAGGAGTGGGCTAAAGACTCCTACACTGGTACAGCAACTAATCCATTACACATAGAACCTCTAATACAAGCAGAAAAAGCAGAAGAAACGTTACCATACCCACAGTATTCAAGTGAAGGAAGTTTGCGGACAAACGGCATTATACCTGTTGATTAATCTGTTTTTTTTTTTTAAATGTATTGAAATTCCTTGGTTACAGCAAGGCCATATTCTGGATTGTCACTAATGAGGTAAAAAGATATACCAACTTGGTTCGGTGGTAGGGGAAGAGTCAGTTGAATCTCAGCAGATTTTATTTTCCATTGCAATTGCAATTTTAATGCCTAATACTGGCCTTAACAATAAATAAAATGTAAAGATTAAAGATTCTCTTTTCATCTTTATTACCAAATGTTATGATCAGTATATTATAAACTGTCTTAAAAATGTGGACATTTCCGATTTAATGATGTGCGTAGGCACGCATTGCATCCCCTGGATTCGGGCAGTAGTTTGTTAGTGTTTGCATTTCAATCCATAATGTTTTGCACAAAATACATACCCTACTGTTAATTTTTTTCATTTGGAATGTAGTATTATTTTTTTAGTATACAACTTTACAACTCTATTGATAGTGTTATAATAATAAATATCATAAAATTAGATTTTTTTATTAACATTTAATTATTGATATTGAATTTATGGTAATGTATTCTATCATAAATTTATATTTTTTATGTTTATTTGTACACTGATGTAGGTAGCTGGTGCTACCGAAAATTTCATATCAATAAACACCAATGTCTTAATTACAGTAGTCTCAGTGTCATGCCTGTCTCTTATACACAATAAAGGACATAATAATACATTGTGTAGCATAGCTCTCAACGAATGTAGTCCTGTAAATAAATGAATAAAGAAATTGTGTAATAAAATGCCTCTGTGGCAGGACTCGAACCTGCGACCTCTCGCTGTCAAGGCGAGCGTCATAACCATTAGACCATGGAGGCTTCATGGTTAAACAGATTCAAATACCACCAGATACACTCCATTACACAATAAGTACGGCTAGAAACAAATAATTGCATAGGCTGTAATATATATATATATATGTGTGTGTGTGTGTGTGTGTGTGTGTATAAACTATATTAATAATAAGAGTGCTAAGTTGTATGAGAGAAAGTGTGCCTGGGGATTAGATCTGCGATCTGCACATATATCCTATAGGTGTTCATGGTATAATACATATAAGGAATGATACTTGCCTTAACGGTGAGAGGTTGCAGCTTCGAATCTAGTCAGAAACAATTTTTATACGAATAAAATTATGCTTGATACTAGTATTACAATTATTATTATTTATAACAGTGCTAAAATAGGAACAAGATGTTATAATTGTATCAATCATAATAATTTTCAAAAAAAAAAAAAGGTGTCTTTGGTTCACACAATGTTGACGGGAGAATCACTACTTGGGGTTTGTTGATTGCGCTCTTAGACAGCAAGGAATACATAACCTCCTTTGATGGTGGCGGTAATAATTAAAACAGAAAGAGCAAATATCTCGGCCCACCACAAATCCTATTCTATAAAATATATCTACCAAAATATGTTTATGTAATTTACTTCAACCACTACCACTCCAACTCACTTCGCTCCACTGCTCTTCAAAAACACACAGTAACTCGCCCAAACACTTTATTCTGGATTTTTGGGAACTCTTTCATATTGGGAATTTTCAGATTTTGTCATCTGAAATGATTTCACTAAAATTCACTGTCAGCCTACTTTTCACTACACATGTAACGTTGTGAACACATAATCCAAGCAATATAGTATATAGTATTATAGTAGTAGTAGTAGTATAGTAAGTATATAGTATTGAAACATTTTATTTTCAACTACTGACACTGTAAAAAATGTGGCAACCCACTGACTTTCCAACCACCACCTAAACAAGAAATATACTAATGCGGCCAACCAGAAATGTCTTTTATTGTATTAGTTGTATATATTTTTAGTTTACAAAAACAAATACATGCCATGTGTTGGTGTTGAAATGGAAATATTATGCAAATAGTCAAATTAATAAGTTCTTAGCGTCACATGATTAAATATAAAGACTTAAAAATATTTCCAATCAGTTCCCAAAAAAGTGAAGTTAGTACATATAAAACGCTGTACATATTTACTGTAATTGCACTAATTTGAATATTCATACAGCTATTGTATCTGCCTACGTTATACGGTAAAGTTAACATACTTTTTAAATGATCCTCATATCCACACTCTACTTCGAATCGTCACCAAAATTTAAACACTTCTTAAATTTGAAACATGCCAAACTATTCTGGAAAGTTTCATTTTGATCCACTGAACCATTTTAGAGATATTAAGTTTTGGGACCCAATGGCTCTCAAATTCACACCCGAATTTGGATCGTCACTAACACTAATAATTTCTTCCATGTAACTTTCACGAAACTTTCATTCAGATCAGTTGATTAGGTTTTAGATATCTTGTCTAGGACGTTTTCCTCGTATCCACTCCACACCCTACTCCGGGTCGTCACCAAAAATCACCTCATTCTTGGTTTATACCTAACACTCCCTGTAAATTTCACTTAAATCTGTGCAGCCATTTTTGAGATATTATTTTGAACACAACCCACACACGAGAACTCCAAAGCGTGACACACAGTGGCGGCTCTAGGATATAATTTATTGGGGGCGGTATAAGAGACAGGGCTAAGATGTCCAACTGGGGGGAGGGGGCGCCTAAGTATTTACGGGTGTAACTATAGCGTGCAGCGTTATCTGAGGGCCGAAGCCCCGAGCCAGGTGTGGGTATGGGAAGGGGTGTCCCAGCCCCCAAAACGAGATTTCTTTTTAAATTGGGACTTCTAGATGGCTGGGATTGGAAAACCAGGCGTATTTTTTTTTTTTTTTTGGTCCGACTGCCCGACGAGCATCATTATCAAAGAAAGGTAAATACTGTGTTCGAATAGGATGTATAGGGCATAGGTCACGTTCTGTGCAAATTAGAACGTGCAGTTAGAACTTTTAGGCAGTGAAGGGAATGACATTTGTAATGTTAAAACTATTAAAGATAAAGTAAATCGGATGTGATCTAGACCCACATATGCATTGTCTGATCATTGCTTTCAAGTGAGGAAATAATGTATTTAAAAAATAACTGTTAGTCCTTGGATTACACAAAAAGTACGCCCAGGTCTCTATCTTTGGTCGAGGCTATAGGCTACTGATGCGGAATTACTTAAAATCAGTTTAGATTAGAATAACACCTCAGAATCATTTTTGAAGTTCATAAGAGTGGTAGTCGGGAAAGAATGACTAGTTCATCATGGCCCTACTACACACCAACAGCATGCAATCAAAGATCAACAATCAGACGGTCCTACCTTTTACCATCATAATTAAGTGAAATGGTCGGGGTTTCAATCCCTCACTCAGCATTTCACCAGGGATTGTTTTCACTTGTGTCCTTGGGCAAGGCACTTTATCTGCATTGCTTCTCTCCACCCACCCAGGAGTATAAATGGTTACCTAGCAGGGTTAATGCCAAAATGCGCTGATGTAGCTGCAACGTTATGGAATACTCCCTCCCCCAGGGAGCTTGAGTTTGTGTTCCATAGGCGTTTAATCCAATGACCGGGGTAATGATAATGTGAAGCGCATAGAAGGCTTTATTATTATTTATTATTGTTGTTGTTATGTTACTAAAACCTACATTAGGGGAACTTAGACAATGGAGAAATTATAGAGTAATTTAAAAAACGACGTTAAGAGGAAAGTAAGACAAAAAATATTCCCCTTAAGTCCGATTTAGAAAAATTATTATTGTTATTACTATTATTATTTATTTTTTTTCCCATATCGTTTTCCTATCTATTTTCACTGGGTTTTTCCGCCCGGCACTTTGGTCACTTTCCATGCTTTTGGAACTTTTCCATTTGTCGAAGCATAGATTATATATCAAGGATGTGTCTCCTAATATAATTAGTGTCAATCCAGAGTGGGGTGTGGATATGAGGACCAGTTAAAGGAATTTAAGGGCAAACACTCTACACCAGATATTTCAAAAACTGGTCAACTGATCTGAAACTTTCGAAAAAGTTTAACAAAGTTGCAAGGAAGAAATAATTATGTGTTGGTGACCATCCAGTTTAGGATGTAAATTTTAGGGTCATTTAAATTCCTGACTCCCAGACCTAAATATCTCTAAAAACTTACCAATGAGTCTAAATGTAACTTTCTCTAATAGTTTGCCAAGGTCTAGTACAGAAATGATTAAATTTTTGTGACAATTCGGAGTAGGGTGTGGATGTGAGGACCATTGAAAGGAAAACGTCCCGGACCAGATATTTAAAAAACGGATCAACTGATAATGAAACTTTCCAAGTTACAGGGAAGAAACTATTAGGCCTATGTGTTGGTGATGATCCAATTTAGGGTGTACATGTGAGGGTCATTTAAATTTCTGACGTCCCAGACCTAAATATCTATAAAAACTTATCAATTGGTCTAAATGAAAGTTTCTACAATAGTCTGTCAAGGTATGGTAAAGAATACTTCGAATACTATGGATCAATGGCCCAGTTGGTTATTGGTGTTTGCATAGACAGCAGAAGGTCCCGGGTTCAAATCCCTGTTGGGTAATATGTTCCGCCCCCTCGGATTCCTCTTCCTAACTGTTTACAATTTATATGCATGTATAAGGCAAGAAGATTTAGATTTTGTTGTTTGTCAGTGATCTTGAACCATAATGTTTTGCACATGATTATGATTTATGCATATTTCTCAACTCAATGGAAATCATGCTGTCAAATAATTACATTATTTGAATTACATCAAACCAAAACCAAAGAAACACAATAAAACAACAATGTATATACAATCTTAAGTTGGTCGTTTTTATTCGCTATGCAAATAACTCTAAGCCTAAGTGAATGAACTTAGCATTTAGACTACTTTGTTTACAATGACTGTGTACCTCATCGTATTAAAGTGTCCATGTCTTTTAATGCTGCATAGCTCATATTTCTTGCTTGCAACACATTACTATCATGAGAAAAAGTGTTTGTTGTCCCCAAATGAGATTCAAACCCAACAATAGCATAATGTTCTGACTTTTAATTGATGAATGATACAAGGAGGGCGTTGTCACATATGCAAATACTGTACCAGCACTGAATTGACACTCTTGGGTTTGAAAAAAGGTGGTCAAAATAGATGCAACGCTTTTTATTGTGTTTATGGAGATTCTCATTGTTGACTAACTCACAGGAGGGTCACCATAATCTCAACATCCTAGACGAATTTGAAAATGACCAGAGAGGAAGAAAGAGCTTGACTTACGCTGCCACTTATGTGGAATTTTTCTCTGGGCTCTATGATTGAACCTTTCTGTTGCTTCTTACCATTTGAAGTACTATAAGACATACGGCACATCAAGATGCCATGTGACCCAATTAAAAAAAAATCTCAATGTGTTGCCAGCCACAAGCATGCTTTACAGTACATCAAAAGTTATATTCTGTCGGCAACAAATCAAAAATGTGTTAACATGCCACATCACAGCCATCATCAAGGCTCATAGAAGGATAAATCTATTTATGTGAGCAAATATTTAAAAATATTATAAAAGCTTGTGAGGGCGCCCCAGCAAACTCGTAAGATATAGAAGATTTTTTGAAAAGTAATTAGTATGTGTTCATATCTTTTAGCATCACCGTTTGAAAAAACAAAAAAAAACATGAATATCATTGAATGAAACAATTAACAAATACCGTACTAGTAGCATTATTTTAGGTTTAAGGTGTAAAGACACAATGATTACAAAAATGTAACATGAAAAATATATAGTGTTTTGACACTATTATAAATTCTAGACCAGTGTGTTGACTCTTGGATTTTAAAAGTTTGCTCTGTCTATATAATAGAGGGTGGACAAACAGTAGCATTCCATTTCACCTTAGGCTGAAATAACATTTTACTACAGCATAAAGTGCATTCCATTATATCTGAGCTTAGGCTCAAATAATATTTTACTACAGTGTTACGCCACGATACCATTTGATAATACTCCGTTGCTATCGGCAACACAAAATGTGTTCAACCGATGCCATTTTCTAAACTGACAAACCACTGATCCCAATTTCTAACGTAATTATTAAGAAGTCGTATCTTAATTTTTCTTTGTAAATGTTAATTGATGATTAAATGTGTGTTCGATAACTAAAATAATGCAAGCTTTTTATGTTTTTAGTACATTTTGATGGTAAATTATGAGGTTTTAAAATGCCTATTCCAGAAAGCCTATTCTAAACCATAGGCGTAATGAATGGTAACCAACATCGCCACCTGGTGTTGTGACGACACGACTGTGGTACTCTATAAGAGGAGTGCACTGAAAAAAATGAACAAGCACCGTACACATCACTAGGATATGCCATTATTAGCTAGTGTTTCATTTTTGAGAGAAAAAAAGATATTTTTTGATAAAAATAAACAGCTTTTCAAAATACGAACATACCACAATTTATAAATCACTACTAAATGTATGAACATACCAAGGCAATTGAAAAAAAACTGTTGAATTGCCTAGGATATACACCTTGTTGCTTTGTATATACCATTTTTTCATGGGGAATTTAATAAACAGATTCCATGTAGTCTAGATGTTACTCGTCTTTTAAATTAAGATCTGCAAACCTTTGTTATTGCTTTGTACACATTGTGTTTCCATGTAATTATATGTATATTATACCCATTTTGTAATTTTCATCATCATAAAAATCAAAAATCAGAGTAATAGATATTTCTGCAAAATTGGTTGGTAAAATTATGTATTTGTCTCTCAAAATCATTATCTAAATTCAAAGTTGATTTTTTAAAAATTGTTACAAACTGGGAAAACAACAACTTGATGATGATTGCAAGCATTTTAGAAAGTTTTTAATGTTAATTCTGTGCAAAACATACAAAAGCTCAGCCTTTTGAAACCATAAGGTATACTATATAATGTAGTAATCATTATACCATAATTCAGAGAGCCAAAACACGTAATATACCTGCTCTACTATTAATACAAATGCACAGCAAGATAAGGGGTCTGATTAACATTTGTTAGTAAGTTAATGAGGTTTTTTTTTGGCTATGATGTCAATAGTGGATGTATAAGAGAAAAGTAATTTGATTTTGCAATTAGTAACCTCTTCATTATCTCTGGATAGCATTCATATTTCATCCAAATTTAATCACTTTGAACTTGACTAACATTTTCCACAGTGCCACATTGATTATCCAGATATTTAACATACAGAGTAACATACATATGTATATGTATTGTTTTGTAAGCAAATCTCCGGGAACAATATTTAATGTATTCAAATGGTATGTAGCAACTTTGTTGCAAATAAAAACATTCATAACACTGTAGCTATAGCATTGTGCATAACATTTCATTGTACAGCCAAAATTATTTAAAAAAACTAAAGTTACTTGATTTTAATAATAAAGTACAGGGAATTGATCTTTTCCTCCTAACTGGTGTCCATAAATGTGTCACCAGCAGGCCCTGAGTTATCCTTCTGGATACCGTCAAATATCGTAGACATCTCTGGACTGGCACGAATCTGAGTCACAAATTCATTTAACATCGGGTTTTTATCTGGGAATGAAAAATATTCAATAAAAAATTAGATCAAGCAAAAGAAACTAAACCTTATTCAACTACGCTTGTCAAAAAGTATGATAGGGGTGCTTCCCCAATTGTGGAATAATAATTTTATTTGCATTAATACCAAAAACACATACACAATAGGCCATTACATGATGATGACATAATTAATGTCAAAATATTGAATCCCGACACGATGGCGTGCATTTCGATACTAAGTATGTATTATACTATATTAGGCCATTACACATATGAAAACATCACAAAAATAGTACTAAAAATTAATAATATAAAATATATATATTATTCACTTCTTATTTAAACTGGGGCATCTATTTTGGTAGGTAAAAAAGGTAGCAAGCCAATGCCATTCCACATGGCCTAATATGCTTTATAAACCGAGTCCCATTATGACACTTAGACAATGGTCTTTTCAGTAATCAGAAAAATAACTTATTTCTGGCACGATACAAACCCAGGACCCTTAGATTACAAGACAAGTATAATACTCCACTACTAGCTAATAATATCTGCTAGTTTAATGCTGGCTTGCAGGTAATTATTATATAAATACTGCCACATGTAACCTCAACTTAACTTGTTTGTTAAATTGAACTTAAAATCAAATAAATTGAATATAATACTATCAATCAGGGCAGTCCCAGTCTTAATTCCATCGATTTTAGATGAGCCTGGATTTAAAATTAAGGTTGTGATGACTTACCACTATCAGGCATTGCCAACAATGCCGCTACCGCTCGCATCGCTGATCTCTTCAGTTCATCTTGTTTCTCAAACTCTTGTTTAACTGAGTTCGCCTTCACTTTGGTTGTACATGTTGTACGTAAAGGCTCTATTAGTCTATCCAGCCCTACAAAATCAAAATGCATTTATCAATTGTTTAATTATGCAATACATCAAGAAAAACAATCTGCACTTAGGGAAGATACCAGCTTTGGCTCATTGTCGGGCTCCAAAGTAATTTTCGGAAGACTTTTTACAACTTTCATAGCACATCTAATTATATTTTGCTGCTCTTTGTAATCACTGATACCCATTGATACTGACTTCTGTTAAAAAATGATAAGCAAGGAGCAATACAGTAGTAAAAACATGCAGATTTAATTAATTTGCAGGAGTTGGCTTATTTTCTGAGAAATTCTAGCTTGGTTGCGGGAGTCTGTCCAGATTTCAAAAGACTCCAACAAATTATGGGAGACTTGGAAACCTTGTATAGTTCAGCTGTCAGAGCAACCAAATAGTCTTTGGACTTCATATTGGGTTCAGATCCTAATTAATATATTATTTTGTGAAAAACTATTTATCAATATTAATACAATAAGCTCTATCCAGTTAATCAAATTTCCTTTTACAAAATGATGTCATTGTGACCCATGATGTCATCATGACCATAAAAACGTGTGGTATTCAAATCTTTAAATTAGAATGCATGGCTTGTTGCATTTACTCTCACTCACATTCTAAGTAATGTGTTCTTGAATGTCGCAGTGAGCTATGGGCCCAAAATAAAATACTGAAGCCAAGTTCAAGACAATCTGGTGGTTTTTGATGACTCAGGGTATGTTCCTACCACCCTAAGGTAAACCATAGCTACTGATGTTAAAGCACTACTTACTCTGTAACATGGCATGAGGACAAAGACTTGAGAGGCGTACCAGCATGAGATACGTTAACATCTACAAAAGACGATAATTTACAACCAGTAGTTTTAAAAAAATAATTAATAACATTCACATTTCTGGTTCGATACAAGGACAAAACCACATTGGAAATGGGTACACATACAGCAGAAATACTATTTATATGTACATTAAATAATAATTATAAAAGTATAATGAATGAAGATAATAACTGATAGTAAACATGCAAATCTACATTTATGAATTGTAAATAAACCAATTTAAACATCTTACCTTGATATCATAATGATCCTTCAACCCTTCCTCAACATGATTCAAAAACTCAAAAATGTCTACTCTATTCAGACATGAATCCAGTAATGTGTACATACATTCAAATGCTGCCTGTAAATATTAAACACATCAAAACAAATCAACAAGAAAGTCAACAACAGATTCACTAAAAACTAATTGTTTTAGAGGTTCAACTAAATCATACTGAACAATAAATTGCAATTGTATCAACAGATTTTGATTTAATAAAATAAATGAATACAGATTTATTTCATATCATTACCCCATTCATTGGATTAAATGTATTTGTGACATATACACAGCTCCCTGAAGGAGTGTTACGACAATCTGAAGTATCTCTGAAGGATCAACTTATCCTCTCGGATGTTGGGAAACTCAAGGGGAACTCAAGGGAAACATGGATTAGTGCCTTGCCGAAGACATAGGAAAAATAAATATTGTATTTAATACAATGACCTAACCCTGTTGTTAACAATAGTTCTCAGAGTTTCTCCAATACAGTTCACCATCCAATTCGAGACCAAAAATTTTGGGTGTTCTCAAGGTTCAGTCTCCACATAGAGGGATAGCTTAGTGTTAATAGATTGTTATTTAGTCTCAAACTGGAGAGAGCACTGTAATGATATTTACAGTTAAGTGTGAGGAATGTTATACCTTTCTGATGTCCAAGCCATCATCCACTGTGTGTTTGAATGGACCCATCTCTACTTCTCTGATTAGTTCCTTCCTCACTTTCGTTTCCTTGTAGAGATTTGGAAGGATCTCATCCAGAAGATCCCGTACCAATGACGGTTTATTGTGTGCAGCAGAATTGAAGGTTACTAATGATACTCTACGAACATTCAAGTCACTATCCTCCATGGTCTTTAGGAAATCACCGATACATGACTTCAGCAAAGGATCTATTGATTGTGGCTAGTAAATATAAATAATATTGAATATTTAATTTGATTATAAAATCTTGTATTGTAGAAACTTGTTCTGAAAAATAACATATACAATTTGATTGGGGATATTCCTGATGTCAATTGTCGTAAAAATGTTCAGTCGCACTTCAACAAAATTTTTTTTGAATTCTTTAATTTGTTTTTTTTTAAATTTTAATACTTTTTATTTACCATATCTAATTACATTGTTTGTTTCTCCTTCAGGATTTAATCATGGAGGAAAACTAATTCCTCCATCATTTAATAGTCTTTCTTTATTACCTAAGCCTCATATTGAGGTCGAAGGTCATCAATTAAAGCAATAATAATCAATGAAGGAAAATGAACAGGAAAAAACCAAATCGATCAAGGATGCATTAGCTTACTTCCACTGTGTCAAAGGTCAAGTCCCTGGTGTCAGATAAGAATGATGTTATTCAATGTTTAAACTAACATGCTTAAACTTACTTGATCTGATATGGTGTATTTTACCGCTGTCACCACAGTACTCCTTGTGAATGCTGATGGGCTTGTTAGGTAATCCTTACGAAATAAAATCAAAAGATGTCTTATCAGAAGGCAGGCTTATTAAAAAGGAAGACTAATGAAAGGGTGGGCTAAGATAGGGAAGGCATAGGGGCACAACTTAAACAGAAGGGGTAAATAGAGAAGGCTTAATCAATCAATCAATCAGTCATCAATGAATGATTAATCAATCATTAATAAATCATAAACTACTCAATTATAACCATCAAAGTCTGTATGTATAGCACTGGAAAAAAAGTGTACTCAGTATTTCAAGCATAGATTTAAAACAAACACACTCTTAAGAGACATGATAAAGCAAAAAAACAGTTATGTAGACAGACAAATATGTGTTATCTACCTTAAGTTTAGGAAGTAAATTAAGAGGATCAATTAGTGTCAACTTTCCAAGACACTCAGCTACTACATTACGAGTCCCTTCTTCAGGGCATTCACAGTGTTTAAACAACATAGCCCTGAAACAGAAAGCAGTTATCAATAATAATAATATAATATGTTAGATTTATATAGCGCTTAACACCAACAAGGCCTCTCAGCGCTTCACATTACTACCCCCGGTCAAAGGATTAAACGCCTATGGAACATATTCCATAAAGTTGCAGCAGCTACATCAGCGCATTTTGGCATTTAACCCTACCAGGTACCCATTTATACTCCTGGGTGGAGAGAAGCAATGCAAATAAAGTACCTTACACAGGTTATTATTATCCTATCAATATGTTCATAAAAATAGTTTCTAGATTTTCTTTGGCTTAAGAAACCCCAAAAAATCTGAAAATAATGATGGCAAAAATAACAAGGATAATAATGGTTATATTTGAAAACTGAAAAATGTCTTACCATATATTACCAACATATTGCTGCAAACCTGCCACAGAACTCGTTGTCAAAGATTGGCATGTAATAATCTGGAACGAAACATAATAATAAAAACATAAATAAAAACCAATTCCTTAAAATTAAATGATGATTTCCAATATTATTGAGGCTAAGATTCATGCACACACTCAATGGGTAGGGTAGGTAAAATACATATATCAATGGTATTGGTCATTGGAGTCTGTGATACAGTACGTTTCTGCATAAACCAACTTTACATTATGTCATTTCTCTCAATAAGGAACATCCCTCGACAATAAAGGAATCATCTTTACACAATTTCAGAAAATGAGATACCATAGTTATGTTCCTTTTGTATAGGGCACTAAAGCTTTATTAACAACATAGACAATATGATTTAATATCAATTACTTGTGATAAAAAACAATGCAAAGATGTTAAATTATTGGATAACAAAATATAAATACAAAATTACCTCTTTGAGAGAGTGTAGGAGAAGATATTGTCTTTTGGGCTGACTTTCAATCTCTTGCAGAACAAAAGGTAAGTATAAAGGAAGATTACCCACACTTACATTACCTATAGAAAAAAATATATATTTATTACTTCTATATATATTCTATATTATTATTAATACCATAAATATATTATATTTATATTATTATAAATATAGAATATGTATATTACTAATGTTATTAATATTTTATAAATTAGGTTATTAAAATTTAAAAAATATGATTAATTCCATATTTTATCCATGCTCCTATTTAAATTACAACCCACTTTCGAAAGTACCTTTCATTCACAATTTCTTTCTTTGTACAGTTTTTCATATTTAGGTTAAGCGCATAGAAGTCTCCATAATATGCGCTCTATAAGTTGACCATTATTATTATTAATCTGTAACCCCATTTAATTTCCAACAGCCTCCCAAGACCTGTATACTTTATACACAGCAAAAGGAAATGTTGTTATTTTAAAGTAATCTTACTTTCATCAGATTGTTGCTGTGGGCGATTATTTTATTGAAAACTATAATGGTTTACCTACCTAATGCAAATGAGGCAGCTGATTTGACCTCTTCACTGGGTAGAGAGAAGCAGTTAATCAAAACTGTTTGCAGTCCAACTTGACCACTCAGGTCCCTATAAAGACAGAAAAAATAAACAATCATTATTTTGAAATTCATGGCTTATGTATTCTCTTAAATAAAAATTAATTTACTGAATTTCAAAATACTATTACACTTTGCTTCTAAAATATATATTTTAGTGGAAGTGCTGTCACTTTGTGTTTAATGTGCCCACCCTGCAATACCATAATCCAGGTTCAAATCTCATAAAAAATAACTTACAAATTAATAAAGAAAATCAATTCTATAACGCACAGTTGGGCAAAGTTTTGGCCATGGGTTGCATGCATTCAGCCAGCGATATATTTTTGCGGCAACCGAAAATCAATTAAAAACTCTATGTGTGCGCCCCTCCGACCGATTTCTATGCTCACCCCTGCTCTAATGTTTAATTAGAATAGTTCACACCACCCTATAAGGGGCGTCTTGCACTACTGCAAGACAATCAAATAAAACTGGAAAACTCTGAATGGAAAGACAGGAGTAATACGAGCTCAAAATGATTTAACATCAATTTATATAATATAAGATTTAGTAAATGGTTGTAAAACTTACACATGTCTGCCAATTTCACCTACAGATAACAAAGCAAATAGCTTGACTGAGTCTGTTGATTTGGGATTCTAAAGATGAAATCATAAATAAGAATACAATATTAACCTTTAAAAAATAATGGAAAATAATTTCAGGAATAAATAAAACAATATAAAAGCATGATTACATCAATAATAATCATAATTTTCATCAGACTATGATACATACATATACATTTTTATATTCTTTATAAAACTTGGATGTCTGATAAGTATTATAAAAAAAAACATGTTGACAGTTGCTCTTTATCGAGGCATACAATAATGATAATAGCAAACTTTGGTGACGATGAACACGCTCAACTTGCTGTTCTTTCTAGGAGATGTTGGCGACGCACTGCAGAACGTGTGAGTTGGGGATCGTCTTTCACTTTCACTAAAATCAACGGAGAATACAGACAGAACAGCTACATGTGTGTAAGGGATTAACTTAGAAGTTCCGTTTTTTTTTTAATTAGTGTAATTTATTCGTGAAAAGTAGCAGTACGTTTCTGTTGAATTGGTGTTTGAAAAGTAATTGATTGCAACTGTATACATACATACATTATTAGTATATATTTACCACACATTAACAAAAATGTTTGACATTTCAAATTATATTTTTAATTAATTTAACAAAGAAATGCATGTAGGATAGTTTTCTAGGCCTAGCCCGCCTAGGCCTAGTTCCTGTGTGTGCAATCCTGCTTTTTCTGCACGTCGGCAATTTTCTCGCCGGCGACGGGTGCCTAGACGCCGGCATTTACGCCGGCACTGCCGAATGCCAACATTAATTTTGAGGGCTGTATATTAATATTCACTGTTTGGTTAAAATAAGAAAAAGAATATTCACCTTTATATCATTGATGAACTGTGTGATGACACTGGAGCTCTCTTGCTTACAGGTTATGGTCAGCACTGCAACACATTTGGCGACTGAATGGAAAGCCTAAAATGACAGAAAAACTATTTGTGTACCTTAAAAAGTCACTAAGCAGTAAAATTATAACCTTTCCATGCTCTACATTTATTCCAATCATTTAACATTAATAGGATTCTTACCATGCAATTGTGTACTTTGAAACATATATTTATAACAATATTTAACAAAAAATACTGGTGCATTGTGCGACAGCCACCGCCGCTGGTCTACAGGGCCTATTCTGCAACTCCTCCTAAATTTCAAAAAAGGAAAATATACATATACACATACATGCAAATCATTATCATATGAGATACCTGCTTATGAACAGCATATGGAGCACTGGGTGGTTGAGTTGCTTCTGTGGGGTTGTACACTGGTTCTGTTAGGTAACGTAGTAGATCAGCATACATCATCCCTGCAGTTGATGTGCATACCAGGGTCTTGAAAAATTCCAACATAGCATCTAAAGCACCACCTGTGGAGCATCACCATACAAGGTATAAGTGAAAAGACATGCACTTTCAAAAGTGAAAATAACACCAATTGCAATATAATTATAATAAATAATAATAACAGCAACAACAACAACAACAACAGCAGCAGCAGCAGCAACAGCAACAACAAAAACAACAGCAACAACAACAACAACAGCAGCAGCAACAACAACAACAACAACAGCAGCAGCAGCAGCAGCAACAACAGCAACAAAAACAACAGCAACAGCATCAGCAACAAAACAGCAGCAGCAGCAACAACAACAACAACAACAACAACAACAGTAACAACAACAGCAACAACAACAACAATAATCAAAGCATTAATAATCCCGTATGCATAGTAAGAATAAGACAATTTTAAGAAAGTAGTAATAAAAACGACAATAAAACAACGCCTCTGCTAACTGTGTGGGCAAGGGACAATGAGGGTGAAGGCAGTAGTGCAACTACAACAAGAATAATATTTTAAGATATTAAATTTTACAATGAGAAGCCAATATACAGTATTTACAATTTCTGTAATAAGCAAACTGAATATATTGAAGTCAGATGTACTATAAACAATAAGTAGAAGATCAAAATTAGCAACATTAATAACAATAACAAAATTATTAATTTTACCTTGTAGTAAGGGTGATCGAATGAGACTAAGCACCTGGGGGAGTATCTCTGCCTTGATTTTGAGCATGGAACGTGGAAGGATCTGCGCCAGTGACGTCAGCAATGTTAAAGAAAGCTGTGAGATGTGCAGATCTGTCTCACTGATCAATGGTGGCATCTCCATCAAGACACCATTAATCATAACCTCTGTCACATGCTCCCCTTTAAAATAAGCAAACTAGATTATATTTTTGTTTGATGATTACATTCCAAAACCATAGTCCTAGGTTTAAATCCAGCAATAAGTTAAAATTAGCTAGAACCTGTACTAGTTCCAATCAGAGAACGGTAGACTGCTGCGAAACAAATTTTTTTTTTAATCATCTAATATAAACCTTGGTGGATATTTTCTATATTTAATTTACACCAAAATGCAAATTGACTTAAAATTAGGCCTACTACTCGATCAATTAAGCCTCACTACTAAGGGGTTAACGGACATACAGCGAATGCTCTGTCCATACCATCAAATTTTATGTCATATATTTGTATGAAGTGTCAATATATGGACATGAAGATGTAATATTACTCCCAAATATGGGCATATTACTCCCAAATATGGGCACATTACATGTATTTGTCACAAAACATTTTATAGTGTGGACAGACCTCTAGTGATGCCTAAGAATGGGTATTGCCTATTTTGGATAAGAAATAAATGAAGGTAGATTGAACTAACCGTAGTTTCTGATGAGAATGTTGAGACAAGCTAGTGTTGAGAGTTTTAGAGCACGGTGGTTTTTTCGCAAGAATGAAGCAAGTATCGGCATTCCATTGTTCTGTAAAAACAGCGAACAATTCGGAGAGTAAAGTAGATAAATAATAGATTGGTTGGGCGTATATTATTGGGTCACTGCAGGCAATTTTAAACAACAAAATAATGGATAAAATATTCGAAGAATAAAGAATAAATGAATAAAGAACAGAAAAGCAATTAACCACAATTTGTTATGAATTTATAAGGCAAAATCTTTTATATTAGAATAAAATTTAATGTTAAAACAAATATGCTAATGAGATGTAATTCAAACTGTCATGCCTTATAACAATGTAAACATAACAAGCTCCAATTCTGTGAGTGGTTGTGTGCAGCGCTTATCCTCATATTGATCTACATGCCACTGACAACCATTAAAACATACTGTGTACATATTAGCATCATTA